ATTAACTGTTCAAGGAAGACATAAGAAAAGTCATGCACTACTAGGACACTTTCTAAAGATCCAAAATCCATTTTCTTATCTTGAATAGATGTTTGGAATACAATACACCCCTTTTTTCATAAGCTACCTATCTATATAATAGATATTAGACATGTTAGAACACCCTTAACTCCCTAAAATGAGTGGATCTCACTATCCGAAAATATGGGGACCCTTTTTTTAGACAATCAATCTAAATTGTATATTGATTCAGCTAATTTATACACAAAGTAACATCAAACTCATATATAGTTAATAATATAAGACCAGATCTCCCTATTGTCATAGATATATTTAAGTCACAAAAATACACCATACTAGCTACCATTTCATCCCATTTGACAGAATAATAAATAAAGAAGGAAAATATACCAAGTTAAAGTATTTCTCAGAAATAAATTAGTGACTAAACTGGAATATCTCTAGCTGACAAAATATGACAAGGCATATAAAAAATATAAGTCATGCCTATAACCACATCTGGAGTATCTATGACCTCGAAGGAGTTGGAACAAAAAACTACAAGGCACTTTCTAAACGCTACAAGACAGACTCCCTATTATAGAACCACTACCTCTGCTAAAAGATGCCTCAGTAAATACACGAGGTGGCATAATCCTCAGTCTCCTTGATGGTCTAAAAAAGCTCTCAACTTTAGACTCAGAACGTTTATATGGTCCTTTTTTTGGGCACTCTGCCACCTTTTGTCCAGTATGACCACATCGAAAGCACTAATATATCATCTAGTAATACTATCCTAAGTGTCCCCTACTATAACTTTAACACACTCTTGCTCCACTTATAGAACCACCAGAATTTGCAATGCTACCACCATAAATAATTTGTATAGAAGATCTACCTCTCTAAGTATCTCTGGGTCAAAATATGTTCCTCTTTCCAAAAATCTTCTATCAAAACTCTTCCCACCAAACCTCTTCCTGCTAGCAGCCCATCATTATTGAGTAGTTATTATGTCATTCTCAATCAAACGAGCTCTCTCAAAAAGCTTAAAGAAATAATAAATATGGACTAAAACTAATTACTATCCCATACTATCTTAAAGGCCACTCAAATATCTATAACATTTCTCCTTAAAAGTGTTGACTAACTAAATTGTATTTGGCTAGGAAAGTAAACTCTACCTCATACTGAATCATAGACACGGTCCCCTAAAAAAACCTTAAAGATATATCATGCATTTGATGCCACATAGATGAAGGTATAAACCATGACTTAAGAACATAAGCGAACTCCTACCAACTAATTAGGAAATCCAACCTCCATTGAATATTCTCTCTCTACTGGCCCAACCACCAACACTCAACCTCTTAATCTAGTAGAAACACAACCATAGGTAACTTCCTCTCAAGAGGACAACACATATTATCAAAAGTCTTCTATGATCTCATAAGTTAGTCCTTTGCTACACTGGGCTCAACAACACACCCAAATTTAGGAAGATTTAACCTCAAAAAATATATACAAGTGCCTATCTCAATCCTCAAACCTAATAGAGAAAATTTTGCCTTGAGCTTCACCCATCAATTGTGCTATCAAACTGGCAAACAATGACATTAAATCAGAACTAACAACATGAGTAATGCTCTATATAGGCATAATCTGTCGTGAACTCTTCCCATCAGTCATATATGGGTCTTGTTGATCCTTTAAATACTAACAAAGAATGCACAAAGGTGAACAAAATATAAACCTGAAAATAAATAGAAATGAATGCCCAACACTATCAAGAACTATCTCACTTGATTATAAATCAATTCATATATCTTTATTCGTCACAACCCAACTCAATATAACTCGTAGGTAGAACATGTCATATTATATTGAGTGGTGATAGATCAAGCCAATGATTAAATTTCGGGGAACATTTTAGAATTCTCTAATTTTTTGCAGTAGAATTATTTTCTAATGTTGGAAATATTTTTTAATTGGCTAAAAATGACGCACTTTCCAATTTATTTGATAGAAAATTTTAAAGAAAATACTAAATTATCCAAAATACTCATATCTATAACATGCATAAAGTTACATAATGAAAGTTTAGTAAATGTAAAGTTATCCTCATTTTTACAAAATGATTTTATACATTTAATAAAAAATTCTTAAAATTTTCATATTATAAAAATTTGAGATAGGTAAAATATAACTAACATTGATCCGAATAACTTTTCAAACTAGACTAATAGTAGAAAATGAACAAAAGAGGGTAAACATAACTTTCTCTCTCTAAAAACTCTCTCTAGATTGGTTTCCCAAAGGAGGTAAATTTTTAGCCAAAATGAAATTTTTTATGGATTTTGACATCTATCAAAATATTTAATTTAGATTCATGATGCTTCAGACAGTGGTGCTACTATGCCAACACTATTCATGATAAAATGACCTAAACGCGAGAGCTCAATGTTACAACACCCCCAAACCTAGCGCCATAACACTCCAAAGGAAAAAAATATATATAGATTTTAATTTTATGCACACATGCCCTAAGGATAGGCTTAAGAGGGAAATTTAGACATTAACATGCAAATAAAATATCAACAAACTCATACATAATCAAAATGTAGAATTCCAACTAGAAAAACTTAACTAATCGGGTCAGAATGGGTTTGCACTTTCACAATAGTTATTGCATCGACCCGCTACATAATTGTCGCCATCTACCTTAATCGCATGACTATGATCTTCCTACCTATTTCACCCAGCTATAATCCTCAAACCACAATTGCCCAACTACAACCCTTCTACTATCACTCTACTATAATTCTCGGATCATTATCGCCTGACTAGGGTCCTCAGACAATCATCAACCCTCGAACCATCGTCACTAAATTAAGGCCATTGAACTATTGTTGCCCAACTATGGTCCTTAGACCAGTATAGTCCGACTATGATCCTCATACTACTAATACTCTCTACTATGATCTTTAGACCATTGTTATCTAACTATATCCTTCTAATCTTTGTCATCCACATACTATATTCCTCTGACCTCTATCGCGCATCAACAATGCCTTCAACTTGCATTGCTTGCCTACTATTGTCCTTCGACTACCATCGCTTGATACAATCCTTCAATCACCATTGCCTAATTATGGTGCTCCAACCTCTGGCACTTGGATGAACTCCTCCAACCACCTTTACTTGACCATGGTCTTCCTGCCACTGTAGTTTAGCTATGGTCCTTTGAACTACCATTGCCCGACAATAGTCCTCTGATCTTCTTTGCCGGATTATGGCCCTTTGACATCCATCAACCAACTATGCTCCTCTGGAAACCATTGCCTGACTACACTCTACTGACATACAATATTCTGATCATTATCACATGGCTACTTCGATGCCTATTGACTTTATCATCGATTGTCGCTAACAAGGCCAATGCATATCGTCACTTATAAAATCAATACACTTCTTCAACATTAACTCTGACACCCAACTTCAGTATATGGATTCATGTTGAATTCCTTCCAAAGGGCTCTTTCAACTTCGAGCAACTAATGTGTTCAGTACAATCTATCAGTACCTTCCCATAAGGAAGATCTTCACTTGTAATTAAATATAAATACTAGTGAAATCATTTTGATAAGTTAGATTCCATGTTCTTTTTCTCTTTCTTGGGGTTTTTATGTAAAATTTTTAATGTTTTTAATAATTCTTACACTCCTCTCTTATTTGTGTGTGCTAGATCTTCGTGTAAAAATAAGACATAAAACTCTTACCTCTATCTATCAGCGTGACTGTTTTGACATGCAACACTAACTACTTGTTAAATGCCTAAAAAAACATATACGAGTATACATTATCATATTTTAGCTCCTTACATCCCACGATCAAACCCAAATTTTTAAGGTTTAAAAAAAATGTAAGAAAAAAAATCAAAGAAAGAACAGGACAACGGTCATCTGGAACTCTTAGCTGCATCCAATCTGCAATAGAAGCACTGCCGAAAGACCAAAATAACAAAATCCAAAAATAAAGAAAGCGTCCTGTGAACGTGAGCAAAAGCAGGGCTTTCTTCATTCCCCGCCTTAATTCCTCCATCAAATCCTGTCCTCCGCACATTTATTTCCTCAAAACATAAGAAAAAGGCTCTGCCTAATTTCAGGATTCTTTCTACCTTTCTTCCTCCCTTTCATCTCCGACCATTTCTTCCGCTCCCTCCATCGTTTCGTTCTCTACAGTAATATCCATCTCAGGAACATGGTACGTATGAAAGCCATCTACAGACATACAAGGTAGCTATATTTCTCAAGAAATATATTCATTTACTGTGTCCAGATCAGAAGCTTATTCAGCATATAAACGGTCCATATAGTTTTCAAGAGAATTTAGAATTATTATATATTTTCTTACTCTACGGATTGACATCTGTAAACAGGGCGGAGGGAAACTTATAAGTAAAAATGTAAATATTTTTTTTATAAATATTCTTACAACTAAAATTTGTTCCGAGGATGCTGCATCTCGACCCTTATTTATTCATCGTTGTAGGCTTCACATATATGTCGGGGGTCCAAAGGGGTAGCGCCATCATAACAAATTTTGATTGTATGAATATTTTTGGATTCTCTTTACTATTCCTCTTTATATTTGGTTCATCATTTCCTAATAATAACACATCTGCACAATGTGTTTAATTATGTTGGGGCAGTTGCCTAAAAACCATATCATTTTAAAACTTTTAGGGGTGGCAATTGCGTAAAAACTCTTGTAAAGATTGAAAAATACATGAAGAGGGATAAATTTTCTAAAGAATAATATAATAAATAATTTTTTTTATTTTTTCCGAGAGGCAATTAGCTTTCAGGTGGATCCGCCCATGTCTGTAAAACCTTCAGAAATACATATATCATCATTGCATTTTCGTTCAAGATATTCTGATAACTTTCTTTATATTTTCACGCATACAACTACATCATTTATATACTTAATTTGTCCCTGCTATGGCAAAGGCGAACTCGGCTTCTGGATTGGCAGTAGATGATGAGTGCAAGCTGAGGTTTTTGGAGCTGAAAACGAGGCGCTGTTTCAGATTTATCGTGTTTAAGATCGAAGAGAAGGCAATGCAGATAACGGTGGAAAGGCTTGGCCAACCTGAAGAGAGCTACGAAGACTTTACTAAATCGCTTCCTACTGATGAATGTCGCTATGCTGTTTATGACTTCGACTTTGTCACAGATGAGAACTGTCAGAAAAGCAAAATCTTCTTCATTGCCTGGTGAGATTTGCTTACTCCTGATCATCTTTGAATATGATTATTTGAAAACTAGATAAAATTATAAAAGCCACCAATTTTGTCATTGACGTCATGATTTCTATTGTGAAAGTCTGTAAATGAGACAAAGTTTAAGAAAATCATGGTAAGGTTATTTCAATTTGTAAAATATAATAAACAATTGCTCTCCTGTGCAAAAGCTTATATAACCTACTTTATTTTTCATTAGAAGATGAAATTTCCGACCGTTTTAGAAAAATCAAATTAATAACATCATACAAAGCCTTACAAACGATAAAAATTTGTCTAGATCTTATTTTGCTTTTCCTCTTATTATTTCATGTAGGTCTCCTGACAGTTCAAAAGTTAGGAATAAGATGCTATATGCTAGCTCCAAAGATAGATTCAAGAGAGAGCTAGACGGCATTCAAGTGGAGTTGCAAGCAACAGATCCCAGCGAGATGAGCTTGGACATTGTAAGATGTCGGGCTCTCTAAACGAAAGAACTGGAGTTTCATAAATACTTTTCAGGTTTTATGAGATTAGGATTGTTCGATCCGCGGAGAGATTATTATGTCCAAAGTTCGGATACAAAGAACCATTCGATTTTGTGACTGTAAATAATAAAAGTGCAGCAGTGAACAAGAATAGTGTGGTGGTAAACAATAATTGTGTTTTATTGCTCGCAGTCACAAAATCAAACTGTTCTCTATGTTCGGACTGCACACGTAATAATCTCTCCTATTCGTGACACAATACATGTTAACTGGTTATGTTTATGCATTTTTTTTATAAATTCTGAGATTCAATAACTTTCGTTATACATAACGGGGTATGCAAACATTCCCTTTTTTTCATTTTATTTTTTTCTGAGAGATATGGAAGAGTAGATAGCCAGACTTATTTGTGTTTTCAAATATCCCATTAGAGGAATACATGGAAGAAAAATAAAAGATTAAATAAACAAGCCGACAAGACAAAAAAAAAGTATGTCCTAGTCTAACTATTATGATTTAATATTTTAAAATATAGTTGATGCTTCTCAATTTTATCATTGTTATCAACTGCGATTTCTACCTCAAATTTTCTACAATATTCTTCGCGGTATATCATATCAATGATCTCATGAGAAAGTAGTTTTCCATCTTAGTCATTAAGAATTTCTTGTTACATATTAATCATTAGGAATCCTTCTAGCTAGTAATTTAGTTTTTTTTTATTAAAAAATTCATTAATTTTCATTCTATAAACTTTTTTTTTTTTAACTTCGTAAAAATCAATCATTTATGATCATAAATTTTTTCAACATTTTATTATTTACGCCATCACATACTCTTGCACAAGGTTATGGAAACCCAACCGAACATAAAATTCGCTATAGAAAAATGTTTGAAAATTTAAAAATTTTCATAAGAAAACCCTGTAGGAAAATGGTTTCTTGTGGAATAAATTTCCATCGAAAATGTTTCTATTGGATTTCTGGTGGATTACTGAAAAAATTTGCTTGTTTAACGGACACGTCGAAAATTTCAAAAACAATGGAATTTCCAGACAATTTTTTCTGCCATAATTTTTGGTGAATTTTTGACTAAAATTTGGTCAGCATTTCTAACAAAAATTTAAGTCAGAAATCCGCTGGAAATTCTAATGGAATTTTCATCAAAAATTCCGTTGGAATATTCAATGAATTATTTTGTTTGTATTTTCGTCTCATTTCTTGTATTTTCGTCGCATTTTTTATTGCTTTGATCCACTAGGAGCTCCTTCTGTTATTCCTCGTTGAGTAAATTTTTTATGAAGGCCTTCAACACATGAAGATAAAATTTTCTCGTCTCTCTTCTTCATCTCAAAGAAAGATATCGCTCTTATCACCAATATAATTCTTTTTCAACTCAGATAAAGATTTCAACAAATAGAGACAAATATTGTGAGCGGAATACCCAAGATGGAAACGAGATAAAGAAAAGAGGAAAAGTAACTTGGAATTATATTCGATACTTGTACAGAGCTAAGCCTATCTATATATAGCCTCCAGGCTATTAGTTAATACATCAAGAAATGAGAAAAAAACTAAGACCAATTAATGAGACCCTGCTGACGTGTAGAGCTTGTATTAACATGCCCCCTCAAACTAAGCATCCTGGGAACGGATGTTTAGTTTGTTCCGTAGAGATAGAAACCGGTCTTTAGGCAAAGATTTGGTGGGTATGTCAGCTATTTGCTCGGCGGAGCTGATATGCCTGATATTGAGGTTGCCTGCTTTGATATGGTCGCTGATAAAATGGTAGTCGATTTCGATGTGCTTTGTCCGAGCATGAAGATTGGGTTGTTGGCGAGTGCTATGGCCGAGGTGTTGTCGCAGTAGAGGGGAGTTGAGCCGTTTTGAAAGATGTGAAGCTCGGCCAGAAGTCGGCGAAGTCAAATTACTTCGGACGTAGCAGATGAAATGGATCGGTATTCAGCTTTTGTGGATGACTTGGCTACGGTTATTTACTTTTTTGCGGACCAGGAAATAATGGTGTTGCCCAAGATTGTGCAAAACCCTGAGATAGACCTCCGATCCGTGTTGTCTGTGGCCCAATCTGCATCGGCAAAGGCACGTAGCTGGAGATCACTGTGGTCTATTAGAATGCCAAGTTCGGTAGTGCCTTGTATATATCGCAACACTCATTTGAGGACTTGGAAATCATCAAGAGTAGGTTCATGCATGTGTTGACAGATGTAGTTAGTGGTGAAAGCTATATCGGGTCGAGTGATAGATAGGTATTGAAGCGAACCTGCGAGTTTTTGGTAAAGGTGCGGATCTGGAAATGGAGATGCATTGCTATTTCTTGTGGGACGTTTGAGTGACATAGGAGTGAGTGCGGGTTTGCTGTTCGTGAAGCCGACGGTGTGGAGAAGTTGTTTGGCATAGTGTCGTTGATGTAGAAAGTATCCATTTGTTGTTTTTGCAACCTGTATGCCTAAGAATAGAGATATGTCTCCTAATTGTTTGAGATTGAATTTAGAGTGTAATTGACGTAGGAGAGTTTCGATTGTAGACTTATCATTGCCCGTGACCAAGATGTTGTCGACGTAGATCAATACAAACAGCCGAGTCTGAGCCTTCGTGTATAGTAGCAGTGAGGGGTCAGCTTTGCTAAATGTAAAACCGAAAGCTTGTAGGGAAGTGGTGATTTTGTTGAACCATTGTTGTGGTGATTGTTTGAGTCCGTAGATGGACTTGTGAAGCTTGCACACGTGTTCCGGATGTTGAGGATCTATAAATTCGGGTGGTTGCTTCATGTAGACGTCCTCTTGGAGATCACCGTGTAGAAATGCGTTCGAGACGTCAAGTTGAAGAATGGACCAATTTTTGTTAAGAGCTAGCGTGATCAAGACGCGGATCGTAGTCATCTTGGCAACCGGGCTGAACGTGTCGGTGTAGTTGACGCCAAATTCTTGTGAGCATCCGAGAGCGACAAGGCATGCCTTGTACTGAGATATATTGCCGGTGGGATGCCGTTTGATCTTGAATGTCCACTTACAACCGATTACAGGTTTGTTGAGCGGAGGGGGGACTAAGGTCCAACTGGCTTGTTTCTGAAGAGCCGTGTGTTCGGTAGTCATTGCGGAGCACTAGTGCTCATGTTTATTTGCTTGAGCGAAGGATGTCGGAGTGTCGTCGAGCTTGGATATGGCCGAAAGATCGAATATCTTCCTTAGTTTTCATATGCCCGACATGAGCCTAGTGTGCATTTGATGGGAGCGAGCCGGTTGGATGGGCAATGACTTGGATCCTGATGGGCTGGGTGTGATTTTAGTAATCGGTGAGTGTGTCTGTATGAGTGTCGGGGTGGGTGGAACTATGTTTGTAGGAGTATGGGGAGGTTGTTTGGCTAGTGTAGAGGAGGTTGCAGAAGCTGGTGTAAGAAGAAGTGGTGATTGGGTAAGGGCTGGTATGGTTGATGGAGGGGTATGATGTTTGTTTTTGAATGGGAATATGTCTTCGGGGAATGTTACGTGACGGGATATGTAGACAGTATTTGTATGAAGGTCTAGACATTTGTACCCTTTGTGAGTAGTGGAGTAGCCGAGGAAGATGCATTCTCGAGATCGGGGATCAAGTTTGCTAAAGACGTATGGCTTGAGCCACGGGAAGCAGAGGCATCCGAACGTTCGAAGATGCGAGTAAGAGGGGTGTTGTACGTGAAGTCTGCGATGAGGGCTATGAGGATTTGTAGCTTTGCTCGGTAGTATGTTGGGCGGTAGTCAGAGATTCAGCCCAGAATTGTTGTGGTAAGCTGGCGGCGTGTAACAGGGTCCTCATGATGTCCAGTAGGTGCCTGTGTTTTCTTTCAGCCATGCCGTTTTGCTTGGGGGTGTGGGGACAACTGAGCTGATGAGTGATCCCTTGTTCTAGAAGGTAAGTGGTGTGGGGACAACTGAGCTGATGAGTCAATATCAAGTCCAATACTCCAAAGTTCAAAAGAATCCTTCCCCGGTGATTGAGAAAGGGGGAGTCAACAGATAACGCCACCGGATCTGCAACACTAATACAAGCAGACAGAAGGCGTCTACAATCTACGATCCAACGCCACCGGATCTGCAACACTTATGAAAGCAGACAGAAGGCGTGTATAAGCTTTTCAAGGAAATGCTGTGCATTCAAATGACAAATACATGCACAACTACAAATATTTCAAAATACCCCTACACGTGCACTAGAGAATGTATACACATAGATACACTAAAGGGGATATATAAAAATCACCCGCATGGGCCCCGGCGAGCGTGTTATTGGTACACACGTGACGCCTAGGGATGCTGCGCGGGTCGATAAGTGAATTCT